TGCCTTTCCCAATTGAATAATAAAAAAGCAAAAGAAAACCCTCATAATAAATATGCATAGTCCAACAAAACTCACAGCTATGTGTCATTCTGCATTTGAATCCATCACCTCTCTGGCAGGAGGTGCTGACATTTTCCATCTTTAGACCTCCAGATCCATGATTAATCATTTTATTGATTAGAATTCTAAAGTCTTTCAAAGTCGTTTTTCTTTATAATATTGTCATCACATAAATTGTTCTTCTATTTCTGTTCATTTTACTCTGCATCTATTACAAAGATCTTCTCAGCTTCCTGTGAAACTGTCCATTTAGTTATTTCTTATGGCAAAATCATATTCTATCAGATTTACATACCACAGTTTGTTTAGCTATTCCAGTTTTGAGAAAAGTTTGCTGTAAATATTTTTGCTCATCTGAGTGCTTTCTCTCTTTCTTTGGTCTCTTTGAAATATAGACCTCACAGTCATAGAGTTGGGTCAAAGGGCACGCAATATTTAGTAACTTTCAGAATGGTTGTCCCCATTTCTGGCTCTCCCAGAAGTGCATCATTGTGCCAGTTTTCCCATAGCTCCTCCAACATTGGTCATTTTCTTCTTTTGTCATTTTTGCCATTCTGATAGATATGAGGTAGAATCTCAGAACTGCTTTAATTTGCATTCTCTAATTATTAATGATTTGGAGAATTTTACCATATAGTTGATATCTTGGATGTCTTCCTTTGAAAACTACTTGCTCAAATCCTTTGGCCATTTGTCTATTTAGTAATCATTCCTGGCTTTATATACTTGAATCACTTCCTTATGTATCTTGGGTATGAGATCTTTAGCAGAAAAACTGATTTGAAAGTTTCTCCCCTCTGGTAACCTGTTTTGCTTCTAATTTCAACTTCATTACACTTAACATAATACAGGCAATACCTTGGAAATATTACAAGTTTGGTTCCAGATCATAATAAAGCGAATATTGCAGTAAAGCAAGTCACATAGACTTTTAGGTTTCCTAGTGCATGTAAAAATTATGTTTATATTATACTGTAGTCTATTAAGTGTGTGATAGTATTGTGTCTAAAAATGTATATACCTTAATTGAAATAATTTATTGCTAAAAAATGCTAACCAGTATCTGAACCTTCAGCAAGTTGTAATCTTTTTGCCGGTAGAGGGTCTTCCCTTAATGTTGATGGCTGCTGATTGATCAGGGTGGTGGCTGTTGAAGGTTGAGGTGGCTGTGGTGATTTCTTAAAATACGACAACAATGAAGTCTGTTGCATCAATTGACTCTTCTTTTTACTTGAACATGAGACCATTATAGGGTTATTAATTGGCCTAATTTAAATATTGTTGTGTCTCAGGGAATAAGAAGGCCTGAGGAGAGGGAGAAAGATGGGGTCAGTGGAGCAGTTAGAACACTCACAACATTTATTAAGTTCTCTGTCTTATATGGGCGTGGTTCATGGCACCCCCAAAATTATAATAATAACATCAGCAATCACTGATCACAGATCAGTATAAGATATATAATTTCATGGAAAAAGTTTGAAATATGACAAGAATTACCAAAATGTGACACGGGATACAATGTAAGCGTATGCTTTTGGAAAAATGGTGATGACAGACTTGCTGGACGTAGGATTGCCATAAACTTTCAATTTGTAAAACAAAAACAAAAAACCTAATGTCGACAAAGTGCAATAAAACAAGATACGCCTGTACATTCTTTTGGGGATCCTGATACACACGACTTGTTACCTTGTTCAAAATAACTATTTACTCTCATAAGATCATGATGAGAAATTTAGTGGTAATTCATAGCAGGGGATTATTTAAGACTCTTTTCCCAAAAGAATCAGAAAAAAGAGAAAAAGTCAATAAATTCCTCAAATTATCTCCTCCTCCCCCTTCATGCCACTCTAGGGTACCATATTGTATGCAGGAAGTTGAGACTAACATCCTTTCAGAATCATATTGAGAAAATGCCTTAGGCATTTGTTATGTTTCTACCTAATGGTGCCACATATTCTTTGCCCTGTCAGGAAATATAATTATCTACCAAGTGTTTTAGCAATCAATGGCATTATGACATTAAAAGCTCCCTTTATTTTAATGTCCCCCCGGGAACATGGAGTTTCTATTGCAGCTTAATGAGCAATGGTACATCACTCAGGGAGAGTAGCAAGTGCCAGGAAAGGCTGGGATGCTTGCTTCTCATAACCAGCTTCTTCATTCATTAAAAATTAAAGACATATTGTCCATTTCAGGTAGATATCTGAATTTTATTATTACCTATATCCCCATTTCTTTTTTTAAAGACTATTTTATTTTTCCCAATTACATGTTAAAAACAATTTTTAACATTTTAAAAAAAGTTTTTTATCAAAATTCTACCCATTCTTCTCTTCTCCTCTTCTCCCCTCCCTGAGGCAGTAAGTAATCTGATAAAGATTATGCCTGTGCAATTATGTAAAACATTTCCATATTAGTCATTTTGTAAAAGAAGACTCAAACAACAATAAAAAGAGAGTGAAAAATAGTATGCTTCAGTCTATATTCAGACAATGTCAGTTCTTCGTCCCCATTTCAGCAGTTGAAAAAAAATTACTACCTACTGTGCAGTGAGCATGTGTAAGTCATTGCTACTAGACTCTCAGGTTCTTGCTGTTGCCAACTCTTCATGATTTGTCAGATGCAAAGCTATGTAATAATAATAATAACAACAACAATAATAATCTAACAATTATATAGCACCTATTGTGTGCCAGGCACTGTGCTAAGCACTTCACAAATATTATCTCATTTGATCCTCACAATAATCCTGGGAGGTAGGTGCCATTTTAATCTCCATTTTACAGTTGAGGAAACCGAGGCAGACAGATGTTAAATCCCTTACCCCAAGATCACACAGTTTGTAAGTATCTGAGGCCAGATTTGAATTGAGAAGTATTTCTATGAAGAGAGTACTAAATTTCGCAGATTTAGTGCTGTGGAAACAAGTGGTTCTTTTTTCTTTTAAGTTTGTGAGATAAGATTTATTCCTCAAATAATGATCTCATTTGTTTTCCTTCTATAGGAAATATTTAATTTTCTTCAGATACCATATTTTGTAATCTTGTGTCTTCCTGAGTGTTTCATGTTGTTTTTGTTTATATACACACCTCACCAGAGGTGAACTCTGGAATGGGAGGAAGGCAGAACCACATTAAGTGGGAGCATGATTTCCCTCAATCACAATTCTTCTTGTTCTTTGCTTTTGTTTTACATTTCTTGAGCCATTTCATTCTTGCTTCCTCTCTTGGGACTATTTAACATTCAAAGCAGTAGATTAATTGTAATAGAGATAAGACTCTATTTCTAGGACAGTAGAGAGACTGTGGCAATACCAGGTATTGGGAAGTAAGAGTCAGGAAAACCTTGGTTCAAATCTTGCCTCTAGGATACTTACACTGTGTGGCCTTGGGAAAGTCACTTAACCTTTTAATATTGCTCAGACTCTGTTTCCTTCATAAGTAAAATCATACCAGTAGTACCTACCTCATTTTGAGTTGTGAGGCTCAAATGAGATAATATATGTGATATATTTTACAAACCTTAAAGTATGTAATAACAGCTATTATAGCATGGGAAAATATTACTTGTCAGTTATTTTCAGTCAGTGGCAATGGGTGTGTAATCTTTACATCCTCAGGATTTCTGAATTTCATTGCTCCTTTGTCTACCTCACTTTTTATAACCTATTCCTCCCCTAAGTGCAGGAGAATTTTCATACTTTCAAGAGGAGGGAGAGATGGAGAGAGAAAGAGAAGGGAGAGAAGAAATGAGGGGGCGGGGGAAGAGACAGAGAGAGAGAGACAGAAAGAGAGAGAGAAAGAGAGAAATACTTCTTCCTTTTTACCTAGGAAAACAGACTGGCTCATAAAGAGTGTTATGAAGTGAACAAGATGAAAATAAAAACAATAGTCAATAAGTACAAGGAATTTTAGTTTAAGAATATTTTATGTCAGAAATAACAAAAATGTTGCTAAATTCATACTATAGAAACGACATATTCAGGCAGAATAAGAAGAGAATATAGTAATGAACGTATATTGATAAATAGTATCTATGAAAACATAAATATTCGACTTATTAATTTAATAGTCACTGGAATTCAAACACAAAAGCAAAACAGACTTCCTCTCAAGATCTCTTGGTTTTACATTCTAAAAACGAAAACAATATATAGTGATGTACAAAACTCATTAGAAATAGATACAGAGGGCCCTGGTAGGTGCTGCTGGTAGTATGGAAGTAGGTCAGGAAAGGCCTCCTGTTGGCAATGGGGCTGGATCTGAGTCTTGAAGGAAGTCAGCAATTTCTAGGGGTGGAAGTGAGGAGGGATGCATTACAGGCATGAGGGAAGAAGGGAGCTAGTGAAAAACAGCTATCAGCTGGTTTGGTTGAACCTCACTTAAACAGGCAGATTACAACGTCACTGATTTGGAGCCAGGAGTATGACAAGTGTGAACTCATGCAGCTCTCTTAATTTGCAGAAGAAGAAGGAAAGACCAGAGAGGTTAAGCCCAAAGGCAACACCTGGAGCCAATAATTCCAGCAGTCTTTCCACTTCGGGGAGCTAGAAAAGGGTGAATCGTTAGAGGCTGAAACTGCGTTAATTAGACTCTCCATAGATCTTAATAAGCATGCCAAGTTCCCTTGATCTATGACTTAGCCTGTCTTCTGTCTAAAGAGGCTGTTTCTTCACACTCCAACAGAATAAGGATGGAGATTGGGTGTGAAATGGGGCTAAAATTTGAAGAGAGGCCACCCTTTGTAAAAGCAGGGATGTCCTTTTGGGTAGGAACAAGGAAATGGAAGTGGTGGTGTGAGAGAGGAGCCAGTGTTGTTCAGGACAGATGCACAGTGACCAATACGTGACTGACACGCAGTTAATTAAAGTTTGCTGTTTTAGAATAATGACAAGTGAGATGATTTGGACTATCTGATCTTATCGTTTTGTTTTATAGGTATTTATGAGCCGCTACTTCTTGTCTTACTTCAGTGAACCTACCTTCGATGTGAAAATTGCCTTTTGTCAGGTGTGTGTTTCTTACAGGTAAAACAAGGTACAGTATATTCCCTTGTACTTACATTTTCCTACTTTCACCATTCCATCTTGTCACCCAATACACTTGGAATGTAGTTATTTCAAAGTATTTCAGAAGAGGTAGGAAACTCTTTGAGGCTAAAATAAAATTGAAAGGTAGATCACATCCACTACCTCCTTTCCCATCCTTCGGTACCTTGAGTTATGATATAGGAATGAAAGTGGTGGTTGATCAAGGCATGCGCAAAGCTGGCCTTCCCGTTTTTGGACTTATGTGAGATAGTGTTGAAGGTGACTTTGGGGGATGATTAGCTCCTTGGTTTCTTCCAGATTACCATGCAGATTACCTTAGTGTTTGGGCGCTAACATGCTGAGGCAATACCATTTTTGGCCACTGAGCAGGAAGAGCTGCTAGCCCAGTAAGCACAGCCCCCTGGCCTCCGTGAGGTTGGGACCTTTGCCCTCTCCCTTTCCACCAGGCACATGGTCCAGACTGGATTCAATTCTAGGGAAGACTTTTCTCTAATGAGGTAGGTTAGACTCCCTGCTTTCCCTCTCTTGGATTCCTTATGTCTACCACCCTGATATCCTGCTTTAAGCTTAACTTTCAGCTCAGGTCTAGAATGTTTCCCAAATAAGGAGTAAAATAAAGCCTAATCTACAATATGAATCAGATATGGGAGAGGTGGGGAGCTCAGCAATGTTCCCCTCAAAACAGAGCTAAGCCTGTGATTGAGCTCATTTTCCTCCTGGTGTTCACCTTCTTCAAGAATCACGGGAGGAGGAGTAGCTAGGTGGCACAGTGGATAGAATGCCAGGCCTGGAGCCAGGAAGATCCATCTTCATAAATTAAAATCTGGCCTCAGACACTTACTAGCTGTGTGACCCTGGGCAAGTCACTTAACTCCATTTGCCTCAGTTTCCTCATCTGTAAAATGAACTGGAGAAGGAAATGGCAAACCACTCCAGTATCTTTGCCAAGAAAACCCCAGATAGGGTCACGAAGAGTCAGACAAGACTGAAAATGACAAACAACTACAACATGGGAGAGGTATTTATTTCCTACACACAAAAGAAATACCAATCCCAGAACATTCACAAGTGAGCCTTTGACATAAACAGACTTGAACAAGGAGCAGTAATAACTTCTGTTTTACCTCTCTCTAAGAGGACAATAATTAAGCCCCACCAGAATACAAGCCAGTCTGTGGGATTGCTGAATAGGCACTCCACATTTCACTTCAGCTCAGCAATGTTCCCCTCAAGACAGAGTTAAACCAGTGATTGAGCTCATCTTCCTGCTGGTGTTCGCCTTCTTCCGGAAGTATTGGAAGACTTGTCAGAAATGCTTCCTCGTGCCACCAAACAGCCTTGGTCAAAAGTACCAGTGTCTCTGAACTTCTTGAATTCACAAGATGAACTCAACGCCTAGACTCCACCCACCTCAGATCAATGAACAGTCACAGCGGAGGAACCCAGAACTCAGGATCAGAACACTGGCTTTAGCTCCCATGTGTTCATAGCCTCATGGTGGCCATGGTGGGGGACAGGGCTAGTTGTACCTCAAAGGAAGTTATATAATGCCCCCTGAAGACTGAGAGAGAGAGAGAGTGTGCGTCAGAGAGTCAGAGAGCCACTTTCTTTTTAAAGGTCTACTGAGTCATGCATTCTTCCTGCTCAGGAGTCATTGAGGTGATTATCACCTTGTCATAATCCCAAAGCCCCGTAGCAATGAGTCATACACATGGTTAACTGGAAGAAAGCAGGTTTCCCTTCAGCACTGAGTACCACATGGCTAGAAGCAGGAAGGGCTAGCTTTGTTCACGCTGTGTTAATTCTCCAGCTACAGAAGTAAAGAGTGTGTTTGTTGGGCACATCTAGTATTGAATCTCTTATGTAAATTATTTTCTTTCCACATTTCACTGTTAGCAAAAAACAGTTTAGGATCTCTGAGAAGTCTTTGAAATAAGGCTTATGTTAAACCACAATTATTTCTGAAACAATATGTAGTAGTATTTTAACCCTTCAGTTGTTTGGTTTTAAAACATGTCATTTTCAGAAGTGATGCATTGTTGAATTTGTGGGCTAGAGAAGTTCTCAAGTGTGGGACTCAGTATAGGAGTCTAGGTGTCATTTCCCATGCGCTGTCCATACTATGCACATTCTCTACCTAGGCTAACAACAAGAATCATAGGTTATCCTATACATATATGCATGACTGTTTTTCCCTCATCCAAACTGCAGAGCGCAGAAAGGGGAGCATAGCTCAGGGCAGATCACTTCGGAACAAAATATGAGAACGTGGATTGCTGCAACCAATCTGGAGACAGTGTGGAATAGTTGAACAGTGGCTAGGACTCTGGATTTGGAGCCAGAAAGACCTGGGTTCCGATTTCACTTCCAACACTTGGTAATTGTGTGACCCTGAGAAAGTCCTGAGCCTTCTAGGAAGGAACAGGATGCACAAGAGCTCAGCAGCAGCCACAGTGAGCAGCAGTAGTGAGACAGCAGCCCCTGCTCTGCTCAGAACTTACTGAGCCAAGTTCAGAAGCACCATTGGCACAGGGGCAAAAGCAACAGAATAAACTGAAGGGACACCCGAGTTTCAGCAAAGATGGCAAAGATTAAGGGGGTCTGTCTGGCCCCCACAGGCAAGCTCCGACTGAAGCTGTCACTTACAATGACCACTGCAGCGATAGGAAGACATTGTCAGAGGTCTTCTCTTTGATTTCCTCTCTCTGTGCTTGTCCAGTAACAAGCATTGTGTTATATTCTGTTGGCTTCTTTTGTCTAATATGTCCTCCACCTTGATTTTGACTTAAATCTTAAGAAGCCAAGGGTTCACGGCAAATGCACAAAATTTAGGGCAGGGAACTAAACCTCTGTCTGACTCTCAGGAATCTTCTTAATTGGGAACGCTGAGTACCGTCAACGTATTAATATCTTTTCATCTGACTTAAACTCTGCAGAAGAGGAGAGGAAGTTGTAAGAGTGTTCTCACAGTCTTTGATTGCAAGAAAGAAGGAAAGGCAAGCAGGGTGGAGACTGCAGAGGCATGGATGATATTCAATGCCACCATTTCCAGAAGGGAAAAGAAAGCAGAACGACTTTGTTAATGGCTCTCTCCAACACCACCCACCAGTGTTACAAAGTAACTTAACTACTCAAGGGCCTCAGTTTCCTCATTTGTAAAATGAGGAGATTGAACTCAATGGCCTCTATGATCTCTTTCAGCTTTAAATCTATAATCTTACGGTATTTTCTCCTCCCTCTAAATGGGTCAGGTATTTTGTATCTTGTGGCATAGCATACATGAAAAATCAGTCTAATTATCAAGATATAATAATCCTTTAAATAATTGAAGAAAATGATCATTTTTTCTTGTCTTCACTCGTCCCATCTTCTTTAGCCATGTTCTTATGATTTAGTTTCTTATCTCCTTAACTTTCTGTGAATGTCCTTGAGGTTGCTTCTAATAACTGGTGCCTCAAATGGTAGAAGGCCTTCCACAGTCCTTCCTCTGACTAAGGCAGCATAGAATGAGGAGGGCAGTTGCCTTCTTCTGGATACTCTATTTCTATTAAGACATCCTAAGATAACATGACATTTTTTGATGACCGCATCACATGGTCAACAGATACTAAGTTTGTAGTTAAGGAGCTCTTCAGAGAATCTCATTGGCCTTGCAATCCAACCTATTCCTCAACTACCCTTAACTCTACAACATACTACTAACCAATCAGTCGTCCAGCCTTTGCTTTAAGACTTTGCTTTTATTTTTCTTTTAGGAAGAATCGACTACCTCCCAAGGAAACTGATTCCTTGGATAGTTCTAATTATTGGAAAGGTTTTCCCTATATCAAACCTAAATTTGCCTCTTTATTCCTTTCACCTATTGTTCCTGGTTTCCCTTCAAGCCAAAGAGAACCATGTGTCCCCCAAGTCTTCCCCGATTGCTTCAACTGCTACTCATCACACAGACTTGAGTCCCTTCACCATGTTTTTGCCTTTCTCTGGAAATTCTCCAGATGATCAATCTCCTTTTGTGGTACTCAGGATAGAACACAATTTTCCGTAAGTTACCTGACTGGGGCAAAATGTACAAATGCTATTATCTCCTTTTTCTTGGAATCCTTGCCTAAGATCACATTGGATTTCTTGGCCGCCATCATTAAAACCTCTAGGTTTTTTTCACCTTTGTTGTTTAACCATGCTTTTCTCATCTAGAATTTGTACACTTCAATTTTTTAAATTCAAGTTCAGGACTTTAAATATATGCCGGTTGAATTTCATCTTAGCATCATTATAGCCTTTTGAAATTTTTTATATGACAATTCTGTCATTCCAGATTTCAGTCCTCTCTCCTAGCTCCATATCATCCTCAAACTTGATAACTATGTTATCAGTGCCTTCATCCAAATCACTGGATGTGGGAGAAAACAGGGCCAAGGATAGAGCCATGTGACACTTCAGTAGAGACCTTCCTCAAAGCTGATGGATTTGTTAATTAACATTCTTTGGGTCTGTCAGTCAAATACTTCTGAATACACCTAACTACAATACTTTGTAGTCCATATTCCTCTGTGAGGTTATTATGAGAGACTTTGTCAAATATTTTATTAAAGTAAGGTATAATCTGTCTATGGAATATCCCTAATCTACCAGTCTAATAACTTTGTCAGAAAAATAATTGAGGTTGGTCTAGCATGACTTATTCTTTTTTAATCTACCTTGACTTTTGTAACCATTTTCCCAAATGCTCCCAAGAAATATTGTTTTTTTTCTAAAATTTTACAAGAAACTAAGTTCATTGATTTATAGTTCGAAGGATATGATTTCTATTTTTAAAAATCCAGAGAATATTTATAGTCCTACAACACCTGGCCCATTTTTCATGATTCCTTAAATATCATGAATCATATGGGTTCTTTTTTCATGACATCTCTTTCCTTAACCTTCATTGCTAAAATTCACACCATGTTCAGGCTCTTA